AATTCTTCCCCATGAGGGCGGTGAGGCCCTGGCCCAGGTTGCCCAGAGAAGCTGTGGCTGCCCCCTCCCTGGCAGGGTTCGAGGCCAGGTTGGATGGAGCTCTGAGCACCATGGGCTGGTGGAAGATGTCCATGCCCATGGCAGGGGGTTGGGACCAGATGATCTTCGAGGACCCTTCCAACCCAAACTGTTCTATGAAAAACCGACCGGGTTTCGCAGGTCGCGGTAGCTGGTCGTCTCTTTCTCGTGCCCAGGCTTGCTGGAGAGGGTACAAGCAGCGCAGAGCTTACCTGGAGAGGCTGCGCTACCTGCGAGCCAACGCGGATGCTGCGATCAAGGTTTGGAAGACTCTTCCTTCATCCTTTGCACTGGGCATCGACAGTGGCCTTGCCCCGGCTGGCTCTTTGCTGGGCAGGGGGGGAATACAGCAGCTGGACCAGGGCGCAGCTGGGCAGCATCTGAGGGGCTGGGGGAGAACGTCCTGCAGAAATCCCCAGGGTTTTCCCCCCTTTTCCACCCACTTTGGCCAAGCGAGTCCGTCCGTTATCCAACCGCTCGAACACCTCTCCCAGATCCAGGCGAGCGTGAGGATGTGGCAGGCTCGGAGGAAGTACCGGGAGAGGCTGCGCTACTTCAGGCAGAACGTGAGTGGTGGGATGGGGAGCAAACCAGCTCCTGGGAGCGCGTGGGGATGGAGGGGGATGGTCCCCAGTGTGCGGTCGGACCTCTGCCCCCGAATCCTCGCCGTGCAGCTGGAGGGGGAAGTTGGTGCATCCTTGCACGGGGAAAGATGGAGAGGAAAATGTGCTTGGTGGGTCTGGAAGCCAAACTATCAGGCTCTGTAAAGCGTGAGGTGAGGAAAACCCACTCCAGCTCCACCAAAAACCAACAAGGACTTCAAGATGCCCGCTGGAGGGGAAGGGAATCTGGGGGAGAAAGGGATGCGTCGGCTGCGGGGATTAAAGCTGCGCCTCTGGAGTGGCCGCAGCGCGTGAAGTGCAGCAAGCGGAGGTGAAACGGCCCCTGAGGAGGGTGAAATCCCGAAATCCCTCCCGGGCTGAGGAGAGATTCAGGATGTGGGCTCATCC